GACAATCATGTCATCATCTTCTGGAACATCATCATAACAATCCAATTCCTGAATTTCCTGGTGAATTTCTTGTGACTCCATTTCTTTCAGAATCAGTGGACCAAATCTCTCATGTTTAGCCTAGGGGGGGACTTATTTTGGGGGGATGCCTTATATTTCACTCAGAAGGAAACCTGTAAGTAGGTCTTATTTTCGGAGGATGTCTTATTTTCGGGGAAACACAGTACTTCCAGTGGGTGGGCCTAGAAGGACTAGTGAGGAAATGATACTGAAGGGGGAAATCTAAGTGGCTGTTTGAAGCAAGAGGGAGAAGGATGAGTATTCCAGACAGGAAGGAACCAGCCATGCGAAGGCCTCTGGCTGGGAAGGAGTGGTGGGAACTGAGAGGAAGCCCGTGGACTTAGAGCTGGTGAGCGAGGTAGTGAAACAAGACGGGAGAGGTAGGCAGGGCCGGCCACGCTGCACCACGGGTGGGCTGTATTTTCGGTCACTGAAGGATTTTAAGGAGAAAGTTGCATTCTAAGAAGGTACCCACCTGAAAAGCTGTTTTAGCCCCAATCGCAGTTGGCGGCACAGAGATCATGCCAGCACGGCTGTGAGAAACGCTCCCAGCCCCTTGTCCGAGGGGGCTTTGGGCATCTGACTCAGGCTCCCCTGAAGGCCAGTCCCAGTTTGCCACTCGGGAGCTGCGTGCCCTTCTGCCACTATTCTCTCTGAGCTTCCTCCGCTGAAAACAAGGGCGGTGATAGTCCTACCGCATAGAGCTGTGAGGAGCAATGTGTTGAATCCTGTCATGCCTTTGGAACCATGCCTGGCACATAGGAAGTGCTAGAAACGGGTTTATTATGTTCACTGTCACTGGGAAATCCCCCAGGGTCCAGGGACCCCTGCCTCTAGGGCAGTGCTTCTTTAACTGCATCCTGCAGGGGCCAACCCAAGGATACCCACAATACTTTTTTTTACAACAACAAAAATCCTTTTTTTTTTAATTTGTAACTGGCCCTTAATGAATAAAAGTCTTGTTTTCTGCTTCAGATTTACCCAAATCCATTCAGCTCTCTTACTTCTTGGGGGCACCTGCCCTTATCTGAGGACAGGGCACATAGATCCATTACCATGCTCCCCAGTGGTGGGGGAAGTCAAAAGGTATAAGGAAGTCAGAGGATGGGGGAGAGAAAGGGGTGATATTTTATATAAACCCCTTTTTCTCCCTTAATTAAGTGCTTACTTAGCACATGGCCTGACCTGAAGTAATTGCTAAAGTGCATGACCACCAGGATGATACAGGGAAGAGGAGGAGAAAGGATTTATTCTCCATGAATGTGCAGTGCTTGCTGAGCTGGCTCTGATAGGCTCTGACTCTGTGTTTCCAAGACTACGGAAGCCTATGAGGGCCCCAGGAGGAGCAGGTCACAGCCAGTGACTTGCTCAGTTTCATTTACGGGGTGAGTGGGATCTTCTGAGGGGGGCCCCAACCAGCATGGGACATGAAGCAGGAAGAGAAGAAGGCTGCCTGCCTCTCTGTGCCCACCTCTCCCCCAAGATGCTGGAAATGCCAACACTGGGAACCCACTCTGAGATCAAACACTGTCCCCTCCGGGGTCATCTTAAGATGTAAATGCCACTGAGAGGACAATGTGTATGTGAGTAGCTCCCGAGAGGATGAGTTGTCTGTTCTGAGCCCTGAGAGCCTTGCACGAGGAGAAAAGGCAGGGCCTCACCCTCCTGAATACCTGGGGGGAGAAGAGGCTTTTCGAGCTGTCACGGTCCCCTCCTCAATGCTGAGTCCAATGGGACTCAGTGCAAGAGGCCACAAAGCCTATTAAACTTGATTTATTTTCTAAGGGGTCCTGGCAGGGTTTTCAGGGAGGGGTGTCTGATTTGGGGTTCAGGAGGAGCCCCAGGCCTTGGGGAGGAGGATGGCCTCTCCTGCTCTGCCCTCGATCATGCTGCTAGTAGGGGTGCCTCAGGATGTGCTTCAAGATGGTCCGAATTGCCATCCACATCTCCTCGGCCGTGGGGACGATCTGTGTGGCCGGTAGTAGGAAGCCATAGCGCCCAGTGTCCCGGAGCTCAAAGCTGAAGCAGTACTTGATGCCACTGTCATAGGCCCAGTCGACGGTGATCCCACTGGCCACATCTGGATACAAAAGGGCAAGGAAATGCCCCTCAATGAGGCCACAAGGAAAGTGAGCCTGGAGGCCAAATCCCAACCCACCTCAGGCCCACCAAGCCTCCCAACCCAGGCCTTAACCTGGGCCTCACCCCGCTTACCCAGCCCGTTCTCTGCCCGGCAAACCTTAAGACTACTAGGCACGGGTTCTTTGCCCTCCAGGAATGCTACAGAAAGCCAGGCACTGGGGGCCGTGCACTAGTGAACGCTGTCAAGAAGCAGCTCCCTGGTTAGGAAATCAGCTCTGGCCCAGCTAGACCTATGGCACTGCCATGACCAACCAGGCCTGCCAGACAGCCAAGAGCCTACACCTGCCCACCCCAGGTGGCTGAGGTGCCTGAAGCAGCAGCCAGGGGAAGGCTCACTCACAGAGGGTGGTGCTGATGCTGCCGTAAATGTACTTGATCCCATGGACCTTGTACAGGGCCTGCACTGCTCTCTTGGCAAGATTGTGCTGCAGGATGACATCCAGAGGGTGAGAGGCTGGGGCTCCCCACATCCCACACCCCGACACCGTTACCAGCTGCTGAGAAGCAGGAGTTAGGAGTCCTGGAAGTTGCATGTGTAGATGGCTCTCGTGAGAAGGGAACACAGAACCTCCAACTTCGGGCTTGATTACACATGAGACTGAGCTCCCTCCTCCTCCCTACCATGAGATCACTTGGTCCAGACCCTTGATTCAGAGTGAGGGCCTGAGCCTCTGGGAGTCTGCCAGATGCCTCCCCCGAGCCCTAAGTGGCCAATCTCACCAACTCCTCCTGGTCTGAAACGGGCTCCAGTGAGTGGCCATAAGGGTACATGAGCATCTGAGAGTAGCTGTGGATGGAAATCAGAGCCTTGATGTTCCCGTGGGCTGTGATGAAGTTCACAACGGCAGACACCTCTGGCTCCGACTGCGGGTAGGGCCCACGATACGTCTCTGAGCATGGGTTGTCATTAGAACCATTTCCTGGAAGTCCAAGAAAACCACCCAAAGGGTTCAGACTCCCCGGATTGGGAAAGACACTTAGTGCTCACAAAACATCCATCTATTCCTCTGCATTTCCCAGCCCCCTTTGCAGTTTGGTTGAGGCCATGTGACTACTCCTGACCATGACAATGTGTGCGGTAATGATGTGTCACTTCGAGTTCGAGGCTGTGAAGAGCAGACATAACTTCTTCACACTCTCTTCTGACTGCGTGTGGTTGGAAGCAAAAAACTCTAGATGGAGGAAGGGTCCTCCATCACCATCGGAGGAGACCTGCCAAGGAGACTCGCTGCCCACATTGGACTTTGTGTGCATGAAAAACAAACTTTTATTGTGTTGAGCCACTGGAGATTTGGAGGGGTATTTGTTACTGCTGCATACCCTCGTCTAATACCACACTGCGACTCAGCAATTCCCGTGAGGAGCTCCCTGGGCTGGTCCTTTGGGTATGTCCTGACTGTGGTTCCATTAAAGAGGTGGGCCTGCCTTAGCAATCGCCTCCAGAGGAAACTCTAGGTCTCCACCCCCAGCTTCCCCTGCGAGCAATGGCCCCTTTAAGCTGGCCCTTCGTTGCCATCCTGCCATTGCCATGGGGAAGGCTTGGGTCAGTTGAATGCTCCAACTCAGTGTCTGCTCAAGCTGTGCTGCAGCTACAGCCCCAGGAGCCACATGGACTGGGGGCCAAGAAAACAGCGAACAGATCTCCATAGTTACCCGAGGCTGGTCTGGGAACCGCAGACACAACAAGTCTTTGGAATGTCTTCTTGGGGACCTGAATTCCGGGAGAGGGCAAAGGGGAACTCTGCCTCTATTTTGTTCACAAATTTAATTTGTCCCCATCTCCTCCTAGATTATTTGCCCGCCTCCTCTCTCCCTCCTATTTTGTTTGCCTCCCTCCCAAAGGGCCGTGCTGTGGAGGGCTGGGCTGGGCTGGTCAAGATGTGTGGGTTAGAAACACATTTGGAAAGAACCACCCCAGTTTCTCCTCTCTCGTTCGTTCATTCCCCCCTGAAATGACTACACACAAGCCTGGTCCAGAGGCCAAAGGTCACTCCAATATCTGGAGCCTCCTGAAGGTGCCAGAGCACCCTTTTTGACACCCCAGGGCAGTAGGCTGGCTGGAGAGCTGGGGGCTGGCCCATGGACCAGTTCAGATGCTGCTCTAGGACTGCAGCAAGCTGCTCCTCCTCAAGAGTGCAGGTGAGGGCGGCGTGTGGGAGGGATGATGTGCAAGATTACTCATCATGCCGCAGTTAAATTAAAGTAATAATAAAAACCATAACAAAATCTTCCTGCCTGAGTCACCACCCCAGACACACTGTTATTCCTGGCCAGAGGCAATTCCATCACCGGAAGCGCATCCCCTCTTGGCCTTTGAACCTCACCTGGGGTGGGGACCCACGCTGGAAGGGATGTGCTTGCAGGGAGCAAGGGCGTGAGGAGCAGCCCCCCGGCTGGAGGCAGCCAGCTGACAGGGGCCCTGATTGTTGTGTCTCCCAGGAGCTTCTGCACCTGCTACACTTGATGAATGACAAATAGCAACAGATGAGCAGAGCAGGGGAGGCTGAAAGCTTTGTCTGCATTCGCAGCCCACGCATGGAAAGCCGTTCCCCTGCCAACGACCAGGTGGCTTTGCCCAAATATGGAGGAACACTTCAGGCCATTAGTTCTGGTGTGAGCCGAGCAGAATAAACTAATCTTCCCCTGACCAAATGGGAATTCGCTGCCTGCCTCTCTCTGCCGCTCACAAAGCCCTCTGAGCCGCCCTGCTTCACAAGTACCTGCTAATGGATTCATTAGCTATTTATTTTTTCCTTCTCTAAAAATGTAATTTGTAGCAAGGGGAAGTCTCTGGAAAGGCATGGTAAATTATTAAAAGCAGTAATCTTTGAGTAGTGGGATTATGGGAGCTTTTGTCCCCTCAGGGCGTTTCCCCTCACACACATATATATATATTTTTTTTACATTATGTGTATATTGATTTTTTTTTCCTGTGGTGAAACAACAAACATTATTTTTTTAAGAAGTAATTTGTCTTTCTAGCCAGTCCATCTCAGGGTCTGTGGGCACACACTTCAGCCGGTTCCAAGGGACAGCATGGATGACTGCTTGGGGCAGGTGTCAGGCCATTTGGAGGTGGAAATGCCCGATTTTACACAGCTGTGTTCCCTTACACAGGCCGCTACACACACAGCCTCGGATCTCAGGAAACCCCCACAATGTGGCCTGGGGAGGAGAGGGGGGGTGCTTCTCTCTGGATGCTTCAGAGCTGCCCTTACTTTTCAATGAGAGCCGACTCAAAAAAGCCAGGTTTTCCAAAGGGACGGGCATCCAGATCTAGAATGTTCTCTCTCGTTGCTTTAGCCGCCCGGCTGAGGATGAGCTTTTTAACAGCAATGGCTCTATCTCCTATGGAGCCAAACCCAGACCTCCCCCCTCTCCCCAGCATGGTGCCGGTGTCACATCGGGGGACCAAGGGCTGTGGTCATGCAACCTCTCCTCTGGATACCCAGCTTCCCACCCATTAAAGCGCTGGGTGGCCGAAACCGGTTTCGCTCAATGGATAGAGCAACGGCCTGCGGACTGGGAGGTCCCAGGTTCGATTCCGGTCAAGGGCATGTACCTTGGTTGCGGGCACATGCCCAGTGGGGGAGGGTGTGCAAGAGGCAGCTGATCGATGATTCTCTCATCGATGTTTCTGTCCCTCTCTCTTCCTCTCTGTAAAAAAAAAAAAAATCAATAAAAATATATATTTTTAAAAATTATTTAAACAATAAATTAATAAAAATAAAAAATAAAGCGCTGGGTTCCCAGGTCCACCTACTCATCTCTGGGCCTCAGTTTCCTATCCAGTCCCCGTGCCCCTGGCACGGTGAGGGAATAATCGGGAAGATTACCAAGGAACTGGGAGGAAGCTGCCCGTCCCTCCCCGGACTCACACAGTCCGGCAGATAAACCCCCGCCGTCAGCTCAGGGTGACAAAGTAATTGGGTCCAAAATAAAATAATAAAAACAGGCTCAAGTGGTATTAATGATAAGGAACTGGCTTATTCTGTATTTGAAGTACTGTTGATGATAAGGAATTGGCTTGTTCTGTATTGTTCTGGTCTCCCCAGAGGTCAGGGCTCTCAGGAAATGAGCTTGGAGGCATTTTCTTGTGGCCTGCTCTCCTCGAGGAAGGCTCGAGGCAATTCAGGGGCGTCAAAACTCTGAGCTTTAAACAACCAGCCAGATTACCCTGTACCCCCTTAGGCCCTTCTCTGCGTGTTTCGGATTTGATCTTTGCCGCTGTGCGGTCTCCGTGTTTCCCCGTGAGGGCTTAGCCCACGTGTACGTTTCCCACACGTGTGCCGCCTGCCCCCACGCCTCCCAGCCAGTCCCAGGCACGGGCCTGCCTCTCCCTGGCCATGACTCGCTGGCACGAGCCAAATGCGTCGCCTCTCAAGGTAAGACTCGCGGTAATCGGACTGTGTGGGAGCCCCCGGGCCCGGCAGATCGCCCTACCTCCGAAGCCGGACCTCCAGTTCCGGTTCAGATCCACACCGATGCAGGGGACTCCGGGTTGGCTGGACCTGTTCTTCCGCCACAAGCGGTTCTGAGAAAGCCCAGACGATGACCTCGTTACTGAGCCCGCTCCGGGGCTGGGAGCCCCTGGCATCCCGGCCTGGGGAGGAGGGTCTGGGCAGGGGTGGGGGGGGGCAGGGAGGACAGAGTGAAGGAATCTCTGGGGCAGGAGCAGGGGCCACGGGGCTGCACCAAGGCTGCCGTCAGACTCTTTGCGGTGAAAGCCTGGGTGCAAGAGGGAGGTGGCAGGACAAGGGCTGCGGCCTCAGTCTTAGGCAGCCCCCCTTCCTCGGTGAGACTCTGCAAGGAACCCAAGGGGCAGGCAGGCCCCACGGGAACCTCAGCTCAGCTTCCCAAAGCAGAAGTGACCATTTCCCCCCCCCCTTCCCCCGAGCCCCCAGAGCCGCTGACCCCCTCCCTCCCAGGTGCCCTCACCATGCTGTGGGTGAAAGCAAAGCCATCGGGGTTGGAGACGATCTCCAGGAAGATGTCCATGGTGTCCAATAGGTTGGTCAGGACACGATCTTTGCCGTATTCACTGACAATCTGCAAGAAAAAAGCAGAGTTGGACAGGGTGACGGGTGGAAGGCCCTACTGGGCTCTCCTCCGAGGGGAGCAGGACATTTGCACAGCCAGCGGCTGCAGGCAGTGAGGACATCAGGCCATCAGGTACATCCTTCGTACAGAAGAGAGAGGCCTGGATTTTAAACAAATAAAAGGCAGAGAGGCTCGATGGGAGCTCTGTGCTGCAAAAGACCAGCTGGCAGCTGCTCCAAAGGGCAGTGAGCACCCTGAGCTTTAAAAATCCAAGTCTAGTATTTCGTCGGGAGGTGCCCTTAAATAGTCAAGCAGCCCCCGCCCCCCGCCCCAGCCCCCATCCTCCGTCCGTGCTGACCTGCTTGGCGGTCCAGATGCCGGTGGCATGGGTGATCCACTCCCGGGAGTGGATTCCAGTGTCGATCCAGACAGCCTGGCGCTCAGAACCTCCTCCGGTGCTGAACTGGGGGGAAGCACCGGGACCCACACAAGTTTGCACGGAGACAGCCACACGGCTGTCCCTGGACTGCCTGGAAGGACCCGGATGCATCCTCACTGCCCGGGGTGGTCCTAGATGCCCGCGATGGGAGGCTGTGTGTGCAGGTTCCCGGGCGTGACCCCTGAAGTGCACACGTGCTTGAATCCTGGCAGCACAGTACTGCTCCGGGCGGGCGGAGTGATCAGGCCAGAAGCACAGAAGCCCCCAACCCCTCCCCACCTGTAAGCATCGCAGACACTTCTGGTGCTTCTTCAATGCTAAAGGTACGAGAGTCCCCCGGGGAATGTAACTAAAATGCAGGTTCTGAGGGGAGGGATCTGAAGGGGCGCATTTCTAACAAGCTCCTGCCGATGCTGCGGCTACGGGTACTGGTGCAGGTGCGGGTACGGGGACCACACTGAGCAGCAAGGTTTCCGACAACTGAAGAAAGGCCCTGGGGTGAGTCACCTCGGGGACAGACAAAGGCAGGTCTGAGGTTGGGTGAGATCCCTCGGCCTCCGAAGAGTCCCCCGGGCACTGCGGAGAGCAGCAGCGCCTGTCTCCTCTATCAAATGCCCTGCACGGCCCACGCTCCTGAGTGCGCTGGGCGGCACAGGCTAAGAAACGCGTGGGTTCCACGCTCTACTCGGTCCTGCCTCCTCCACGACCAAGGACACTGCCGCTGCTGAGGCTGCATAAATTCTGTTTCCAAGGGCCCTTGAGAAGGGCTGGGGGGACCCCCACAGATTCAGGTCTACCCGTGGGGCTGCCTGAGCCAGGTGACCTCAGTCATTTGTAAATGAGGCCTCTCGGTAGGCACCTCTCTTCCCATTTAACAGATGGAGTAACTGCGGAAACAGCAAGAATGCTGACTCACCCACACTCATATCCCGAATCCAGGGTGGTGCCTGCCACTCTGCCAGTCCACCTTCGTAGCAACCCTCCCACCTACTTCCTGGCCCGGGACATGCCAGGCCACCACACTGTCACCTGTCCATGCCTACAAGGGCGGGTCTCTGATTACCGCAAACCCAAAGTTTATGTGTCACCTCAAGACAGGAGTATACACACCTTCTCTTTCCCTAAAACTTCCACCCAGCCCTGGCCGGTGTGGTTCAGTGAGTTGGAGTGTTGTCCTATGCACAGAAGAGTTTCATGTTCAATTTCCAATCAGGGCTCATGCAGGAGGCAACTGATTGATGTTTCTCTCTCTCATTGACATTTCTCTCTCTCTCTCTCTCTCTCTCTCTCTCTCTCTCTCTCTCTCTCTCTCTCTCTCTCTCTCTCTTCCCCTCTCTCTGAAGTCAATGAACACATCCTCGGGTGAGGATTTTAAAAAATAAATAACAACCTCCCATCCAGCCACAGTCCCACATGAGTTCCATCTCATGCCAGAGTCTAGTGGTCAACACTATTAGCCCTTACCTTCAGGACAAGAATGGATCTATTTTCAAAGCTGTGGCCAATCTGAATTTTCGAGACAATATCTGCATGCTCAGTGACGAAGCTATCAATCCAGTTATATATCTGAAAGTAAGGCAGTTCCTCAGATCGCAGTTAAGCAAGAAGACGGTGAACCCCAGGACCTCTCTGAATAGTCTCCTTCTCCCATCCCACCCTCATTACTACTTTCCCACCTCTCATGAGGATCTGAACGAACCCAGATCAAAAACTAAAAGAAGACAACCTCCAGGCCGAAGGCAAAAGGCTGTGGTTGGCCTGGGTTCTCGGCTTCTCACCGCCATGCAGAGCGAAGACTTTGCCCGGAAGACCAGCCTGTGCTGACCCTACTCAGTGCTTCCATTCAGTACATTTGACAGACCTCACAGACCTGGCAATGTAGTTTTTGGTGACCTTGCTACTTTTGGATCCTAGGCCACTTGAAAGCAGCTTGATTTATCTCTGATATCAGTAAACACCGATGGGCTATATTAATTCGTTCTCTTAGTCTTTCACTGCATGTCATTGAATTAACAAATATGTGCAAGAGCACGGATCTCCCATTGCAGGCCTTGTGAATGGGAAGAGTGAAGATGAAGGTAAATAAAGTGGACCGATACTGTCACACCCTCCCTGTGGAAATGGGAGCCTTGCCTTGTTAGTTACTTCTGAACTCTCCTTGCAGATTCTCCTTCCTAAACAAGCCACAATCAGTCAAACCTGCCCAAAGTGGCTGTGACTGATTACGAAGGCAACTCTGGTCTACAAAATGGCTCTCCCACATGCCTGGCTTCCTGCCCTTTCTACACTCTAGTTCCCACTGCTGGGGCCACTCAACACCAGGAGTGGTCGTGGTGAGGTAAGGACCCCTGGGCCCCCAGCCAGAGCTAGTTAGGAAGGGGCCTCTACCTGCTCCAATCTGGCCAGTGGCAGGTCCTGCCTTAGTGTCCCACCTCGTAGACCATCACTGTGGTCCAGGACCCGCCATGGGCCGACTGTTGAGCTGTGGTCCCTTCAATCTAAATCCTGGCTTCTGGATCTCAGAAGCTGCCTGCCTAATGGACCTTCGCCCGGTGTCTGCTCCACACTCCCCAACTGCCAGTTCCTGGTCTCCCATGGACCCCAGAGTCCTTCACTAGCCTCTGCCAGAATCAGGAGACCCTGAGGAGCCACAGGGAAAACAGAGGCCAGAGCCTAGCCTAGCAGACCTACCTCCTCCAGGGTGTGGTAGGAGGAGTAACTGAAGCTGCTGGCGCTGCGCTCCAGCCGGCGGGACCTCGCCATGGCCTCTCTCTCCTGGTCCAGCAGCACCTAGGGGATGGGGGCACGTGTCGGGAGGGAAGAGGTGGGCTGGGACAGGCGTGCCCCGTCCGAGCCCGGCCTCGGGTGGCTGTGCACAGAGACAGCAGGGACACAGGAGAATGAGCCACCGTGAACACACGCTGCGAGACAAGAGAAGACGCGGGATTTCTGGGAGACTCTTCTGCGTGACTCGCTGGTGTTCGCGATGCCCATTTCCCAGACAAGCACAGGGCACGGAGCAGAGAGCCAGGTTCTAAGTCTGCCACTGCTGCCCACTTGGGGTGGGACCTTGGCCTTTGTTTCCTCGGCTTGATCACTGGGACAGCAACACCTGTCTTGCCCATCTCATAGGATAAAATGTTGTCCTGGATATGAGTGTGTTTGGGAAAAGACGCTCATGTTCTACTGCCAGCATTGCTTTTGCCTCTGTGAACATTCGGTTGAGCTAAGGCCTGCACTGAGCCATGAACACTGACCCCCTGGGGAGCAGAGGGCTCCCCAACCCACAGCATCCACTCTACCTCCAGGAAGTGGCCTAGACAATTGATGTCCAAGCCATTTAGAAAGCCAGCCCAAGGCATTATGATGAAAGGGCTAACAGACTTTCACTCACCATCTTAACTTCCCCTTAATTATATCTAGATATAGATATAAATATAGGTAGAGCCCTAGCCAGTTTGGCTCAGTGGATAGCGCATCAACCTGAGGACCAAAGTGTCCCGAGTTTGATTCCAGTCAAGGGCACGTACCTTGGTTGCAGGCTCCTCCCCTGCCCCTTCTCTGCTCAGGGCTCATGCAGGAGGCAGCCAATCGATGTGTTTCGCTCACATCAATGTTTCTCTCTCTCTCTCTCTTTTACTCTCCCTAAAAATCAGTCAAAAAATATCGTCAGGTGAGGATTAACAAAAGATAGATAGATAGATATGATATATAGAGATAGAGATAGAGATACAGATCTGTACACATAGATATACATGTATACATATAGATATATCTTTGTGTCTATGTGTGTGTGTACAAAGAGAGTGAGAGCAAATACAGTGTGTAAAATGTAAACAACAGGTGAAAAGTCCATCCTATTATTCTTGTGATTAAAAAGCGTTTTAAAATAATGAGAGAATGACATCATGAGCCAAGGATAGCAAGACACTAAAATGCCAAGAAATATATGAAAATGTTAGCAATGGCTGTTAGGATAGAAGAATTATTGTTTGACACAATTTTTTTCTTTTCTCTGCTTTTGCATTTTGGCAACATCCTTATACTACTCTGATAGGTAAGATCTTCTAAGCCAGTGGTTCTCAACCTTTCTAATGCCGCGTCCCTTTAATACAGTTTCCTCATGTTGTGGTGACCCCAACCATAAAATCATTTTCATTGCTACTTCCTAGCTGTAATTTTGCTTCTGTTATGAATCGTAATGTAAATATCTGTGTTTCCCAATGGTCTTAGGCGACCCTGCTAGCGGTTCTCAACCTGTGGGCCGCTGCTGTAGAGCCTAAGATATTTATATTACGATTCATAACAGAAGCAAAATTACAGTCAGGAAGTAACAACAAAAATAATGTTATGGTTGGGGTCACCACAACATGAGGAACTGTATTAAAGGGTCGCGGCATTAGAAAGGTTGAGAACCACTGTTCTAAGTGAATAAATAACACTAAAACTAAAACAGAAAGCCCTAATGAGAAAATACCAGCGGGCTCGCTCACCACCTTGCTCAAGCTCACAGGTGAGACGAGGCCTGGAAACCCACGTGTGGGGCTCATCTTACTGCCTGGTTGAGCACCACCAACTTCATCTGAGGCCATTGTGCTTGCGGTGCTTCCTGGCGGGATGGCTGGGCTGAGGACGGTGCCTGCTGGGCAAAGCCGGGCTGCCCTTGGAAGGAGAGGTGGCGGGAGGGGTCCTGGCCCTCCCTGGCACAAGCACCCCCCGGGAAGCTCTCACAAAAGGAACTTGTCTTCTTCCCAGGAAATGAACGGAAATCTCAGCAGCCCGCCGTGACCGATGTGTGCCAGGCACTGAGCCGGGCACCGCCAGCTCTGGGAGCAGCTGCAGGGGCGAGAGCAGGCCTGCCCAGGTCACCGGAGTCAGGGCCCATCCGTCCCCGCTCGGGCCCCCGCGAGTAACGTTAAAGGGGCCATAAGTCTGGCTTTCTGGGGACTGGTGGACGGAGGCCCAGGCGGCTGGGGAAGGAGCAGGACAGGGAGGAGACGCTGGAAAGAAAGGGCCAGGGGGCTCCTCTTCCCACACAGCCCCGGGACCCCCACATGAAGACAGCTCCCACAGGCTGCGCTTTGTTCCACACAACAGCTTGGAGGCAAATGGGAAGTCGGCAGCAAACTGCAAATACCTTTCCAAATACCCTCGCAGCCCTGTGAATGGATCTGACTCCGCTCACACACTGAGAATGCTCCGCTGGGCCCCAATTCCAGGAACATTAATCTGCCCTGGCCCAAGAAAGACACAGATGTTCGCTCCCCTCACAGGCCCGGGAAGGGGTGGGGGTGGGGGGAAGGGAATGGGGGTGGGGGCTGAAGAATGCAGTCTTGCCATGGGCTCAGGAATACCTAATCACAGCCCTGTCAGGCTGCTCTGAGAGGAAGGGGAGAGAGAGAGAGAGACCTCAGAAGGCAGCCATTTGCCTCCCTGGAAGCCAAAACCTGACAGGAAAAGTAATACCTCGGAGTGAATTAATTTATGACCGGAGTTAGGAAGGATGGGGGACATTAAGCAAGAACAGCACCTCCAGGAAGAGAAAGGGAGGAGACTGAGGCCCCCCAAAAGGGAAGCTGACAGTGGAGGGAACTCGCTGGGCAGCGGGGCTGGGACCGCAGACGTGAAATGGACACAGCTCATAGAATCGGGGGGTAGGAGTAGGGGAAGAGGGGGCGCAGGAGAGGGGCCCTGATCTGCTCTGTAACCACAGCAGTCCCTCTCCTCAAGACCTGCCCTGCTCTTCCAGGCCTAACATTCGCACTAGCAGCTACATGGCGGGTGGAAACTGCAGTCCATGCCTGCTCCGGGGGGGGGCGGGGGGGGAGGGGGGTAATAGGTTGGGGGTGTTAGAATGGACCCCCTGATAGATCAAGGCGAAACTATGGCATCCCTGCCCGGAAGGCAGCTTACAACACCACACAAACAACAATGACAACCTCTGAGGAGGCAGCTGGCACGGGAGCGAAGGGTGCCAGCCGGGAGCATCTGTCTCAGATGAGATCCGGGCGCTCTCACGGACCTGGACAAGTTCCTGATGTCTCTGCCTTCATTACACGGGGGTCATGTTATCACATACTTTTGCAGACATTCTCATGAACATTAGGAGGGTTCATATGTCTAAAATGCTTAGCACATTGCCTAACATGCAGAAAATACCAGCTATGCTAACGACCGTGACAATGACAGGACAAGAGTAACTCTTGGGGTGAGTCCAGGACTCTGTGACAGAGCCATCACGGCGAGGCGTGACCGGGAAATCTGGATTCCTCCCGAGGGGAGTGGTGTGTGTGGGACTCGGGATGGCAGAGCACGCTCATGAATGATCCCTGGTGTGAGTCAGTGAGCACCTGCTCCTGCCGAGGATTAGTCCTTCTGTCCCTGGCCCCTTGGTGCAGCCAGACTCCGCCCCTCCCTCAGGGCCTTACCCCGATGGCCTCCTCCTTCCCTTGCCTTCTCCTGCACTCATCCCTACCTGTCCTCCTCTCCTCTTTATGTATTTATCATTTTTAATCAATTTTTTTAAGCCTCGCCTGAGGATATTTTTCCATTGATTTTTAGAGAGAGGGAAAGACAGAGAGAAAGATCGATGTGAGAGAAACACATCGCTTGGTTGCTTCCTGCACGCACCCCAACCAGGGGAGGAGCATGCAACCAAGGTACATGCCCTTGACCAGAATCAAACCTGGGACCCTTCAATCCACAGGCCGACGCTCTATCCACTGAGCTAAACCAGCAAGGGCCCTCCTCTCCTGCCCCCCAAGCCAACAGCATTTCTACTTTAGAATCTCTTCCAAACAAGTGTTTGTTGAACACACTGCACACTAAAGAAATGGCAGTCTAGTAGGGGATACAGACAATAAGTAAGTTACACAGGATGATAGAAAGCAGTAACTGTCAAGGAGAGAAATGATGCGGAGGAAGGAGGGAGGGAACTGGGGGAGTGTGGAGAAGAAGGGTGCATTTTAAAATAAGGTGAAAAGGTGACATGTGAATAAGATTTGAAAGCAGTGAGGGAATAAGCCAGGCAGATAACTGCAGAAACAGCATTCTAACCATAAGGCCCTGGGGTGTGAATCTAGTCAGGAAAGGGTCAGGCAAGTTTGAGGTACAGCAAGGAGGTCCAGGTGTCTGAAGCAGAGTGAGCAAAGGGGAAATAGTGCAGAGTGTGGGACTCAGATCATGTAGAACAGGGATGAGGAACATCTGGCCCGTGAGCCACATAAGACAGAGAAATCATTTGGTCTGGTCCTACCAAGGTATTAGGGGTGAGTTAACTAAATGTTTGACCAAATCTAGCAGGCTAATTTAAATATATATTTTTATTATTATTGATTTCAGAGAGGAAGAGAAAGGGAAAGAGAGATAGAAATATCAATGATGAGAGAGAATCATTGATTGGCTGCCTCCTGCACACCCCACCCTGGGGATCGAGCCCTCAACCAGGGCATGTGCCCTGACCAGGAATTGAAGCATGACCTCCTGCTTCATAGGCTGATGCTCAACCACTGAGTCACGCCAGCCAGGCAAGCGGGCTAATTTTTAAGTTGATTATTTTGTTTGGCTCACAAATGATGTTATAAATATCCAAATGGCCCTTGGCACAAAAAAAGGTTCCTCACCCCCGATAGAACCTTAAAAGTTCTTACAGCTGTTTGAAGGACTTTGGCTCTTACTCTGAGTTGGGATGGCCTTGAGGGTTTTAAACAGAGGCGTGCTACAACCAGACTTGAATATTTTTAAAGGACCCATGTGGTTGCTGTTTTAAGAGACGAGGCAATAAAGCCCTAGTCAGTTTTCTCAGTGGTTAGAGTATCAGCCCTCAGATTGAAGGGTCAAGGGTTCAATTCCAGTCAAGGGTGCATACCTCAAGTTGCAGGCTCAATCCCCATCCCCAGTCCAAATCAGCTGGGAGAGGCAACCAATCGATGTGTCTCTCTCACATCGATATTTTCCTCTTTCTATCCCTCCCTTCCACTCTCTCTAAAAAGATCAATGGAGAAAATATTCTCAGGTGAAAATTAACAATGCCAACAACAACAAAAAGACTAGGCCATCAGGAGATAAGGGTGGGAATAGGGAGGCCAGCTGGAAAACTACCCAGGAGAAAGCTGAAGGAGTGCTGGCCCAGGTGGCAGCAGAGGGATTTGCGGATGGATCGGCTACGGCAGCGTTTTTCAACCGCTGTTCCGCGGCACACTAGTGTGCCGCAAGATGTTGCCTGGTGTGCTGTAGGTGCAGACAAGACAAGAATTTTATAATTTTTCACTATTTTGTTTACTTAATATTTCATAATAAAGTAATTATAAAATACTTTCTTTGTGTTTATTTGATTCCTATTCAAGAGAATTACTTTATATATAGTCAATATAGGCACAGAGTTAAATTTTTTAACATTTTCTAATGGTGGTGTGCCTCGTGATTTTTTTCATGAAACAAGTGTGCCTTTGCCCAAAAAAGGTTGAAAAACACTGGGCTATGGGAAGGGAGAAAGGAGTCCAGCATAACTCCGACCATCGGAATAGAATTTCCTGAGATGAGAGCTTCCTGGGGGGCCTTGTGAAGTCTGAGCTGCCAGTAAGGCAGATGAGTCTGGAGCTCAGGTGAGATATGAGTCTGGCTGGAGCTGTGAATGTGGGAGTATTCAGGAGGTTGAAGGTATTCAATGCCATGACCCTTGGCCTTGAGGGGTCAGTGAAGAGGTCAAAGGACAAAGCTGGGAAACAGGAAAACAACCTGCAAAGGAGTAGCCAGTAAAATGGGCGACCCAGGCAGGTGCAGACGTCCAGGTTTGCCCCACAGGAAGTGGAGAGACGGGGTGATAGCTGGGAAAGGGAGCGGATAAAGGGAGGATTGTTTTTTAAGGTGCCAGAAATAACTCTATATCTGTAAGCTGATGAGAGTGATGCAGTAGAGAGGGGGAGTTGGTGAAGCAATATTTACACTAAGTTATGTTTTGCTCTGGATGCTCAGAGCACAGGTGATCTTTGTTGTCTCCTTTGTGCTTTTCCCTATTTTCCAAATTACCTAACATGAATATTTATTAATTTTGTAATCAGAAAAAAAGCCATTAAAATCCACTGAGCTGATTGCTCAAGTGAAGCTTCTCCGTGGTGACTCATCCGCAGGAAGAAAAAAACAACAACAACAACAACAACCCAAGGGCTGACAAGAACCAGGAGGTGAAGAAAAATTAAATGCAAATAGAGCTCACTCAGAATCAGATAATTTCTTGCCTGGCCCACTGCAATTTCCTCACCGCCCTCCCTCCCCCCCTCCCTGCTCCTGTCCCCAACTCCATATTAGCACTGTCACAGGAGTTTTTCTTCCCTGCAAATCTGACCTGTCAGAGACCTCCCCTGCTCCCTCGCCCGTATGGGGGATAAAATCTTGACCTCTTCACCCCGCAGAGGATGCCCTTTGTGATCTGGACCGGCCTCCTCGCCAATCTGGGGCCCCTTCCCCTCCCGGGCCCCCCTCTCTGCTCCTCAGCTACACCGTAATTACCGCCTTTTCAGAGCAACTTGCGGGGCCTCTTGTCCCCGCTCCCATAGCAACCTGCTCCACTCCCTCCTTGCTCTCATCCACTCCATTGTAATCACAGATTCCCTCCCTCCGCTCCCCGCCCCCACAGCGCCCCGCTCCCTGGATACGGACCGTCCTCATCTTTGTGTTCCCAGCACCTTGCCCCAGGATGTGGGTTTGGGGTGGGGGGGGAGTGGAGAAACACTTCCCTCCTCAAATCTCCCCAGTGCTTCTGGCCAAAGGGAAAGCCTGGTTCCATCAAGCAAGTTCACCCTCTGTCCTTTCCTTCTCCCTGGTCTGCTAACTCAGCTAGCACTTAGTCAGCCCCAGCTGGTAGGTGCTACGCAGGCCCTAGCGTAGGTTCTGGGGCCTAAGGATGGGTAAGGAGCATGATCCTGGACCTGGTGGGGCTCGGGGAAGAGGCGTCCCTCTGGGCAGGCTCTGCCAGAACCTACCAACAGAGCAAGTCAGCACCCAGTTGTGGAGGGCCCACCGCGCAGGAAACACTGGGCCAAAACCCGGGGCTGAGAAGCCCCAGAAGACAGAGGAAACCAGGCCTCGGCAGTGTTAATAGCCGGAACATCAGCCCGGAGGCCAGAAACCTGAGCAGGGCACAAAGCCCTTCCCCTCCTGTTAGCGCCTCTGAGCTTCCCTCCGCCCGGACACCTCTCTCCTTCATCTTCACAAATCACCCCGGCACAGCAGTCTCCCCCCCCCGCCCCCCTCCCCCCAGCTCCCTCCACTGGACCTCACATCTGACAATCAGGGCTTGATGTGTTGCAGACTGAGCCAGCGAGTTGGTGAAAATCCTGCATGGCTGGGCTAGGCCTGAGAATCCTGGGCATTTTACTGAAAATGAATAAAAATCCCCCCCATAACCCCCCACCTCCAGGGACTCCAGAACTGGGGACCACAGTGAAGGGGGTGGGGGTCGGCAGGAGGAGGTTACAGACTGACAGAGAGAGGATGGACCCGCTTCAAAGGAGCTGGGGGGGGGGGGGCGGGGTGAAGGCAGGGCTCAGAGGTGCCTCTGGAGCTAGTCCTGATGTGCAGAAATCCACAGGAACTTTTGAGAGACCTTTTCGTATCTGTTTGCCAAATGCTGCTGCGGGGTTTCCAGGGTGGAGAAGGAGCAGGGGAAATGCAAACTTCAGAATTCGGGCCTGGGCCACAATGGGAGCTGAGCGCTGGCTGCTTCTTTTGATGTGGTGGCCTCTCCTGTCTGTGGGAGTTTCCCCATTTTTTGTTTGTGGGGATTTAATTAGAGAAATAGCCCACCCCCACATGTTGAGCGGGAAACAGATGTGCCTGATGAGGATGAAAGTCTTTGTATGGACCTACGTGCCCCTGGCCCTGGGCTCGCCTGGGAAAGGAATGCCGCCTAATGCGTTTATCCCCCGGCATGTGGTGTCAAGTGTGTGCGCCGCGGGAGGCTCCATGTTCCCACACTGCGGGGAGGAGGGATTAGCGGCAGCACGGCCTGTTTGGGAACAAACCTCTGGGGGTACAATGCCACAGGTACCCCACCGCCTCTGCAGAGGGTGCCCAGCACATGGCTGCAAGAAGGAGGCCCCTGGGAATGGAGGTCCTTGAAGACAAAACAATTGAAATAGAATTGCACAGTGTTCAGAAAAGACCCTGGAGTTGAAACCAGTTTGGCTCAGTGGATAGAGCGTTGGCCTGCGGACTGAAAGGTCCCGGGTTCGATTCCAGTCAAGGCATGTACCTTGGATGCGGGCACATCCCCAGTAGGGGGTGTGCAAGAGGCAGCTGATCGATGATTCTCTCTCATAGATGTTTCTAACTCTCTATCCCTCTCTCTTCCTCTCTGTAAAAAAAATCAATAAGATATATTAAAAAAGAAAAGGCCCTGGAAGGGGCAGACACCAGGGGGGCGTAGGAAGGAGACGGTGCCCAAGATGAAGTCTCCCCTTGCCGTACCCAAGAGCCTTGTCTGCAGCCACTTCTTCCCCAGCTCTTCCCCTGGCGGAAGGCCTCGGGCCCAGAGCCCTGCGGTGGAGTGGGGCAGAGCAGCCTCGGCAGGACTCACCCTGGGCTTCTCTGGGAGGAAGGGATCCCCTGGGGGTGGCTGAGACGCCACAGGGACCGGAGGGCAGTCAGAAAGCGAGGGGGGCCTCCAGAGCTGCCTCTCCATGGGCCGCACAAGAGCCCACGCTACCTCCTCCGCCTCCCCTCTCCACTGGGAGCCTCGGTCTTTCTTCTCTAAGTGGAGCCCGAGCCAGACAGGCAGCGCTGGGCGGGGCCTCACCTGGATGTCCTTGATCATGACGCTGTAAGAAAGGCCGTGAGACTCCAGGTAGCCTTTGACGTCTCTCAGCGCGGAGAAAGGCACCCTCATGTCCACGGGGAGGCTGGGCCTGGCCGGGCCACGCCAGAAGTCCACCTGTTCACAGAGGAGAGGAAAACGGGTGCCTGTATCACCCGTCCTTACCCGCGGCCCTGCAGGCTCCCTGGGAAACCGGGTGGTCTGATACAGAGAGGAGAGGGCGCCCGTTCCCTGATGAGAACCCTGAGGCCCAGCAGAAAGAGGCGCAAACATAAAAACTCTGCGGGTCACTGAGTTTCTGTCCCTGTGTCGGGCCCCTTCCTCCTCCAGGCTCACACTGCCCAAAGAGCCCAAAGCACCCTAACCCTAGCCTAACCCTAGCCTAACCCTAACCCTAACCTAACCTAACCCTAACACTAACCTAACCCTAACCTAACCCTAACCTAACCCTAACCTAACCCTAACCCTAACCTAACACTAACCTAACCCTAACCTAACCCTAGCCTAACCCTAACCCTAACCTAACCTAACCCTAACACTAACCTAACCCTAACCTAACCCTAACCTAACCCTAACCTAACCCTAACCCTAACCTAACACTAACCTAACCCTAACCTAACCCTAGCCCTAACCCTAACCCTAACCCTAACCTAACCCTAACCTAACCCTAGCCCTAACCCTAACCCTAACCCTAACCTAACCCTAACCTAACCCTAACCCTAACCCTAACCTAACCCTAACCTAACCCTAACCCTAACCTAACCTTAACCCTAACTCTAACCCTAATCCTAACCCTAACCCTAACCCTAACCTAACCCTAACCTAACCCTAACCCTAACCTAACCCTAACCCTAACCTAACCCTAACCTAACCCTAACCCTAACCTAACCCTAACCCTAACCTAACCCTAACCCTAACCTAACCCTAACCCTAATCCTAACCCTAACCCTAATCCTAACCCTAACCCTAACCCTAATCTAACCCTAACCCTAACCTAACCCTAACCCTAGCCTTGCCACAAGAGGGACAGCTCCTCCTCTGGAACATGGACGTGAACAAGAACTCGGTCAGAAGACAGAGACCTCACTGCCCCCAGACCTAGAGGAAGTGGCGAGGCCTCACCTGGAGTCCCAGGCCATCTGAATGCCACATCCATTTTCCAATTTATATAAGGCCTACGAGAGTGGATCGGTAAGGGCACTCATACAAATCGGAGCGAGGGCTCTGGGCCACATCCAGAACTATCTGGTTGTTTCCACAGCCCTCAGACAGAGTCCTTCTATTACAACCGTCGACGGAAATGTTTTCCGTTGTGGAATACTCGCAGAGGACAAATGTTCTTGGAAACGAGTGCTCATCTGACAGGGACGAGCCCAAATAAAACACAGGTTTGCCAAGCGAAGCCCTCCCAGTTCTTCCAATTGGCAAACAGATGCATCCAGTCTGCGTGCTGCACGGCATCCCACCCAGAGACAGATGTGCCCCCCGCCCCGTGTGGCCTCGGGACATGTCAGTGGCATCCAGAGCGGCCCCCACACAGTCCCCTCAGCAGCCCCATCCAGGGCAGAGCAGAAAGCCAGCAAGAGCTGCCCAGCCTTGTAGGTGAGTGCTCCCAGCCTTTCCTGAAGAGGAGCCACCGCTGACTTTTCCATGGTTCTATGTTCTTGGCAGAGCCATCAGAGAGCAGATTTGGGGTCTGGGGGTTTGGGGGGTGGGACCCCAAAGGTGCAAGCAGCTGTGGGAGAAGGGAGAGCATGTCCCAGAGCCCTGAGCAGGCCTCACCTTCTGGGGCTTCAGCCCCTCCAGCTCCCTGAGAAGGCGAAGCTGCATCTCGTCTTTAGCCAGGACTCGAAGAACCTGGTCTCTGGAAAGACATGGGGGTGGTGGGGGGCAGAGGGAGCTGCTGAGAGGGGTTCCTGGAAGGCTGTGCTGTCGCAGGAGGCAGCGTGGAGAAGACACCAGGCTGAGGGAGCCTGGTAGGAAGGCTGGCGGCACCTGGCCATGCGGAGGCTGAAGGACTGAGCAGGACTGAGTTCTGGGAAGCATGCGAGTCCTTCATCCTGGGGCCGGCTATCTCTGCCGAGAACAGTCCGCCCGGGGACCAAATAAAGCCTGTGTGTGCTACTAATGACCCTCAGGACCAGACCGGGAGAGAGAGATGGGGAAGGGATGAGGGGGATGGAGGAAGGTGCGAGAACGCGAGGACTAAAGGGAGAATGGAATGGGGTTCTAGGATACTGGGGTTACAGGGACAAACGATGGCCCACGTGCCCTTCAGGCAGCTGTCCCAAGGCCATGGTCTGTCCACACCCGGTGCCCAAACTTCTTCCTCCCGAGAGCATGAGGCCATGGGAGTGGAGGTCAGCCTCACTCTGCCTTCTGGGGAAGCTGAGCTCCCTCCTGCCCACTGGAGGGAGTGGGAGGCGGTGGAACTGGGCAGCCTACAGCGTGACCTCTAGGGTCTGATGCTGGGATGGCCTTGGCTATGTCCCTGACTGGCTCTGAGACCATGGACAGTGGGCCTGCTCTCTAAGCTTATATCTTCCTCTCTAGCGCAGGGTCTTTGAGAGGCTGGGCAATTGTGTCCTTACTGGCCTGGTGTAGAATACTGGTGCTTGTGTTATTTAAAGGAGGATAATCCTACATCCATCTGTGGTAGGGTGTATAGTCTTTTGGGGGTTACTAACTTCTTTGAGAATCTGAGGAAAGCTATAAACCCTCCCTCGAGAAAAAAAAAAAAATACATACACCAAAAATTATGTATGATTTCAGGGGTTCTTAGATCCCTAAAAGCTTAACCCAGGAGCCCCAGATTGAGATTTCTGGGTTTGGAGCCAGACAATAATACAGCCCTGTGTTCTAGCCTTGAGCGCGGGAGCGGGAGATTTCAGAGTTGGAAGCGGGTTCAGGGTGAGAACCCAAGTCCTGACTCTGTGTGCCTTGATCAGGTCCCAGTGGATGGCCACCTCCCCACTGGGACACCCAGTCCCCAGCGCCTGGCGGTTCTCCCTTCTGCTGCGGAGCAGCCACTCACCCTGTGAAATTCATTTGGCCCCAAGCTGCTGCCAGGAGAAAGCTGCAGACCAGGAGCGTCCGTGTGTCCACCGCGGGCAGCCCAGGGCCCAAGCCTCCTGCCGGGGCGCCCTGCATGCTCCCTCCTCCGGGCGAGCTTCAGGGGCTGGCGGGCATGGCCAAGGCCAAGGCCACAGCACCGCGCAGCAGCTGGAGGCCGGCAGCCCGGCCTGACAATGGGCAGTGGGCCCTCTTGGGGAGGCCCAGCTACACACCAGCGTCGGGAGAGCTGAGGTGCCCCTTCCCACTGCTAGGCAGATCCTCTCCTGGAAAGGGGAGAGCAAAGAGGGGAGGAGGAAGACAGGGCCCTGGGCTTGCTTTCTTCCCCGGACGTTTACTGGGCCAGCGTGTTGTGAACATCAAATCCACCATCTTGAAAGAAAGAGAAGAGTAACTAGAGACCCAAGGAAATCACTCCCTTCCTCCCTCCTCATTTTAACCCTTTCCTTTCTCCTCTCCTCCCTCCCCATCCACTCACACTTTCCCGGGGCCATATCCTCCTTACACATCAGGGTATGGACGCCATGGAGAGAACTCTGGGTTTAGAGACAAAGACCGGTGCTCACTTCCTGTCTAAGAGAGCTGGGGCAATTGACTTAATTTCTCTGAATTCAGTCTACTCATCAGTCAAATGGGAATAATTACACCTCCCTTCCCTACTTCACAGAGTATTTTTTGGGGGGGATGGGGGGCATATTAGCAGAGACAACTTGGGTGCATTGGCTTGGCAAAGCCTTCAAAATGGAATGTATTATTATTTCAAAGGCGCTAACTCTTAGTCACCACTGCATCTTAGGTCAGCACTCCAATTGCAACAGAGAAGGGGAAGAGAAGAGAATGGACAGGGGAACAAAAGAAATGCATTGTATGAGAAGGAATTCAGTGGAGAGTCCCTTTTCTCTGCCTTCAGGTGGTCCCCATTATGCTGGGGCAGGCAGTGAGCTTGCTGCCAGACAGGAAGGTCCCTGAGTCATTATTATAGCTCTCCACAGACAGCAGAGTCGATTTCTCGGTCCCGCTAAAGCCCCGCTCAGCCTCCTTTATGGTCTGGCGATCGTAGGAATAAAGCAAGAGGCCAGCACACAAAGCGGTCATATTGGAAGCAGAGCCTGAAAGATGATGCCTGAATGGTAAATGATGAATCTAACAGAAAATCCACAGGAGGCAGGGGAGAGGCAGAGGCGAAATCCAACCAAGTTGTTCAGCAGAGGATGTCAACAAAAGGCCACTTAACTGTCACCAGCCATTCTCAGCAGCCCCCCTCCCCGTCCGTACCTTCCCAGAATGGCCAATTAACTGGCCATGTGTGCAGAGAGGGGAGCTCTGTTACTGACAGAATGCCCTGCTCCCACACCCCGCTGGACCTACTCCATTATTTCGTGGGTCAGCTGCTCAGACAAGCCAAGCTCTCCTAGAACCCTGGCTCTGGGAACTCCCAGACAGAAGCATTAGCAAAGGGTTTAAGGGCCTAAAAAAGAAAGAAAGCAATTATGCTTTCCACCCAGGTAACATGCAGCGTTAGTAGAAATCGGAATAAAAGAATGTTTTAGTAAACAATAGCTCAGGGATTGAAAAGAAAAAGTGGGAATAGTGCTAGTCACCCAAAATACCCAGCATCTTCTCGTTCAAAAGCATCATTTTAAAACACTAAAAAAAAAGAAAAAAAAAATTTATCCCTGTGCTTGGTTTGGGGCCAGACAGAGAGAGATCAAGAGCAAGAGAGAAAGAGAAAGAGACAGGAGTCTTTAAGAATTCGCCAGAATTCTGTGACAGCACTCCCAATAGAACTTTCTGTGATAATGGAAATGTTCTCTGTCTTCGCTGTCCAATAGAATAGCCACTAGCAACTGAAGAACGGAATTTTTAATTTTAATTAATTTTAATAGCCACAGGTGGTAATGGCTGCCGTATTCACAGCACGGTGCTATGGGAATTCACCAGCCCTAAATCACTGCCTCCAATGCTGGATGTGAAGCAGAAACACAGCTGTGTTTGATCTGATACCGAATAATGGTGTCTTCCTCAAAACTAATTACTCATCTAATCATTTATGCAATAACTGTCTACTGAATACCTACTCTGTGCCAGGCACTTGCTAAAATCTGGGAATAAATAGTCATGTAGACCTGGCCCTTAGATTTCTGATGGGTTAAGTAGAAAATTAATTTAAAATAAATATAACAAGAGAATCCACCCATCTGCAGGAGAAAATGTTAAAAAAAGAATTCACTGAATCCTTTCCTGCTAGAAGAATATACCTCGGATTTAGGATCATTTGCCTTTTGCTTGAAGTATGCCAGTACCTTTTAAAACAATCCTTAAGTGAAATTCTCCCTTTTGTCTGAAAATTCTTTGTGTTGATGGGTTTCAATTCCAGGTTGATTATTATTTTTCTCTTGGCATGTTGAAAACATCCCACTGTCTTCTGGCTCCCATGTTTTGCTGTCAAAAGATCACCATTGGTCTGTTTACTGCTCTGTAGTAGGTGATCTTTTCTTATCCCTGGTTGTTTTGATGATCTCTTCTCACTGATGTCACGTGGTTTTATTTTTGTGTATTTTTCAGCTACCCCACAGTATGTCTGGGTATAGATTTCTTGAGTTTATTCTGCTTGAGATTCATCTGGACTCCTGCATCTGGAGATGGCTCTCTTTCCACTGTTTTCACAAGTTTCTCAGTCGTATTTTTAAACATTGCCTCTTTTTCATTTTATCACCTTCTGGAACTTTTTATTAGATATGTTAAGTCTCCTTATTCTATCCTCCACATCTCTTCATCTTTCTGCTATTTTTCTACTTTCTCATCTCTCTAGGCTACCTCCTGGATAATTTCTTTGTATCAAATATCTGTTTCTTTTTTATTATTATTATTCAAATATCTGTTTCTTTATTCGTTAATTGATTCTCCCATCAGCTGAGTTTAATCTGTAACTGAATCAATCTGCTAAATTTTAAATTCCAATTTCTACAGTTCATCAATTCTGAAACAATCCCCTCCTCCCCCCATATTTTAATACATCTGAACTCAGAGTGTATCTTACAATGAGTGGCATCTTGCAATAATCAGTGGCAGAATTTCTGATGGCCCATAACATTCTGGTTTATCTTAGTCAATTGTGTTTTACAGTCAACGCAATACGGTATTCCTTTTCACAAGTTCCATTTGATTTTTTTTCAAATCCAAATGACTTAAAGTTCTTATCTATTTTAGAGCTCCTTGGCTGTTGCCTTAAATCTATAAAATATAATTATTTTATATTCTATGTCAGATAATTACAAAATCTGAAGGCTTGGCGAGTCTGCTTAGTATTATAGTTCCGTGGTGTATTGTTTCTGCCGGTTCTTAATCGCGCCTCATTGTTTCCTGGTGCCATTCATCCGGGAGTCCGTCATTTTCTCCGGACCTTTGTCTATAGGAAAGCTCTCGGCCTGGGTCGAAGTGGAATTCTTCAGGGAGGAATTGCATTTACTTTTGTGAGCTGCCTGGGAGGCACTGCCAACCTGAGACCAGCCTAAATTAAATTATTTGCTTGAGTTTCAGTGTGTTGTGGGTTTTTTGGTTTGTTTGTTTGTTTGTTTGTTTGTTTAACTACATAGTTAGCACAGATTTAGATCACAAACTCATGGGCTGAGGGCGGGTTACTTGTTATTGTGAAGTCTCAGGGGATATTTTCTTCCCACTCACCTAACAACAAGATTTTAAATCCTGGGCAATGGTAACATATTATTTGCAATGGGTAATCAGAGTTAGTGTTTTAAGATGCTGAAATTGTTAGGAGAAAAGGCAGATACTGATAATTTTCTAGACTTCGATTAGTTTGCTAAGTTCAAATCTGCTAGAATAAGAACTAAAAGACTACAAACAGGTAGAAAGGATAAAGATGAAAGGAGAAAAGTGAGTGGGAGAATAAAGGAAAAGAAAATTAATAAGAAAGGTTTAAGAAGGAATTTTTAAGAGCAGACAAGTAGAAAGGACATTAAAAAAAAAAGAAGAAGAAGAAGAAAGAAACTCACCTAAATCTATTTTCAATAGTACTAAATGTAAAAGAGCTTAGCTCTCCAGTGAAAGACAAAAAAATATCAGAATAGATTTTACTTTATAAAACCTACCTATATGTATTCACAAGAGATATGCCTAAAGAATAAGAACAAAGAGAAACTTAAAGTCAAAGATGGAAAAAGGATATTCTGGGTAAATGCTAACCAAAAGAAAGCAGGTGTGGGTTTATTAATATAAAATGAACTTTAAGGCAAAGGCATTATCAGAAGAAATAAGGGAGTTACTGCATAATGTTACTGCTTTCAACTTCCCAAGGATATCTAACATAGAAAAATGTTCGAGAATAATTCTAACAGATAATGTGTAATCCTTCCGGATGACAATTATAAAACTTTATTGAGAAATGCTAAGATTCTAAACAAATCTAAAGATATACTATATTTTTATATAAGAAAACTCAATATCATAAAATTATACATTCTCCCCATATATAATAGATCTTGAGATTCAAAGTAATGCCAGTCAAAAGCCCAACAAGTCCCACAAAACTTCACAAGTTGATAAAAACATATCTTCAAACATAAAGATCCTAAGAGTCAAGACAATCCTGAAGAATAATTAAGTGGGAGAGCGTTTTATACCAGACAGTAATATTTTTTTAAATATATTTTTATTGATCTCAAAGAGGAAGGGAGAGAGAGATAAAGCATCAATGATGACATAGAATCATTGATTGGCTGCTTCCTGCATGCTCCCTATTGGGGATTGAACCCGCAACCCAGCCAGGTGCCTTTGACCGGAATCAAACCTGGGACCCTTCAGTCCACAGGCTGACTCTCTACCTACTGAACCATACTAGCTAGGACAAGACATTTTTATTTTGTCTTGTTTTTTGTTAATCCTTACCGAAGGATGTTATTTCCATCGATTTTTAGAGAGAGTGGGAGAGAGATTTTTAGAGGAAGGGAAAGAGAGAGAGAGAAACAATGTGAGAGACACACATCTATTGATTGCCTCCTGCACTCGCCTCAACCAGGTAGATGCTCGTGTTGGGAATAGAACCTGAGACCTTTCAGTGTCCACACCAATTCTCTAACCACTTAACAACACTGGCCAGGGCAGTAAGACATATTATAAAGTGATAGTAATTTAGACAGCAGAGGACTGGCAC